TTTATGCCATAAATTTGCACCCACAGTTTTAGAAGCAGAAAAACAATGCTGCACATTTTCCAAATCCAAAGGAAAGATGTTTTCTACCATTTTCACCCTAGCTATCTCATCACCAGTAGGGTCATAAATAAAACATGAATCATGCACAAAAGATAGTGTATCCCTTTTCATCATTTGTGCAACAGAAAGTAAATTCTGGCTCAAACTAGGAATAAACAGGACATCAGTAATTTGCTTTGTACCTGTTTTACTTTGAATAACAGTAGTATCTTTCCCTTGTGATCTCACCACAGTACCATTTCCTAACTTGACATTTGTAATAACTGATTTGTCCATTTCAATGAAGAGACTTTCATCTCAAGCCATATGATTAGTGCATCCACTATCAACAAACCAAGTACTAGATGACAGAGATGAACCTTGAGACACTATGAACAAGTAGTCCTCCTTGCACTAATCTTCAGCATAATTAACTTGCTGTTGTTGCTTTGGTCTGTACTGAGCTTGTTGATGTTGTGTTTGATGCTGTCGCTGTTGCTTAGCCCTACAATTCTTCTCAATATGGCCATATTTTTTACAAAATCTGCATTGAATCTGTGATTTGCCTTTGAACCAACAATCTTTTTCTTCATGGTTTGATTTTCTGCAATAACATGGAGGAAACCTCCCTTTTCTGCTTTGTTGACGTTGCTGATATGCTTGGTTAGAACCATTGGTCTTATTGCTTTCAGAACTAGTGGTTGGTTGTTTTCCTTTTTGCCTTGCTAGGAAGGCACCTTTTGTAGTTTCATCAGTTTTCATAACCAACCTTTGCTCATGAGCCTGAAGCTTGCTTATGAGCTTAGTGATGGTTAGCTCTTTGAGGTCACAAGATTCTTCTATGGCAGAAATCTTAGACTCAAATTTATCTAGTACACTAACAATAATCTTTTCCACCACCCTTCGATCTAGAAATTCCTCACCATGAAGTCTAATTCAGTTGACAACATCCATCAATTTATTTGTATATGGATGGACTGTCTCTGTCTCCTGCATTTTCAGCATTTCAAATTGTCTTTTGAGGGTTACAATCTTGTTACCTTTAACCCGAGAACTGCCATCAAACTCTTTCTTAAGAGTATCCCATGCTTCTTGTGCTGTTTCTGCTCCCATGATACTTGAGAAAATATCATCTATTACAACACTGTGAATATATGAGAGGGCTTTGTATGAGGCTTGAACATAGTCAACATGTTGCTTCATTTGGTCTACAGTTGGATTGTTTGGCAGCATAGGAGGATGAAACCCATCTTCTACAGATTCCCACACACCATTACCTTTTAGAAAGGCCTTCATTTTGATAGCCCAAACACTGTAATTTTCTCCTGTGAACATAGGAGGATTAGAAAGTGTTGAAGAATTGTTTGAAGACATGGCTGTGTTTTTTGTTTACACAACTTCTCTCCCTCACTAGCACTCATGTTTGCTCTCTCTCACCAGAATCTGATATGTTTTGCTCTCATAGGTCCCTCAAGACGATTATGCTCTGATACCAATTGTTAATTTCTGTAGTAAACTAAAGAACACACTAATCTAGATTTTATGAGCTTCTCGGATGTGGAGCTCTACTTCATTTCAGATTGATAACTGACATACAAAAAGAGTTGCTGAATATCTGCAACTTATACATTACAATTTTTACATAAAGGATAAAAATAACTACTCCTAATGCAGCTAACTTGTAGAACTAACTGCAGAAAACAAAAAACCAGTTACAAATTAAAAAAACATAACTGCTGTTAACTGATATCTTCAACACGATCATTAACATGACTGACGGATGCAAGCTCTATACTTGTGCGAGACGGTCCATTATTTCCTTTCGTTTCCCACTCATTCTCATGTACTCCTCCCCTTTCTTTTCCTTTCCCATTCACCGTTTCCTGCTTCTTTAGTTCCTTTTCTTCAACAGCCCCAGTCCCAGCCCCCCGCGCTACATCTCCATAGCCAATCCCTCTCCGCCTTGTTGGAAAAATCGTGAAAAGAGCGCTCGCAAACGCTCCCACTCCCAGCGGAAGATACTTAAATAGCTCCTCCAAATTTGTCCCCTCTTTAAGGAAGAAACAACGCTGCACGTCCAAACTGCTGAAGGAAACCACCAAGAAGACAACAAACGACACAAATGCATGCACAAAGTCCGTGAAAGACAGCCTGTACTTCCTCAATTCCTTCCTCATCCTCTCATCTTTTCCCAGGTTGAGGCCATCGTTGGGGTCATCGTTGAAGATGTAGAGGCCGGACGGAGTGGCAATACCATAGTAAAGCTTTCCGTCATTACCAAGGAAGCTGTCAGTGAAGGAGGAGAGGAAACATGTGAGAGAACAGCAGAAAATGAGTGCAATGGTAAGGTACTTATTGGCAAGTACACATTTGCCACTGTTGGAGAAGGAAGGTATCAGGGCTTTGAAAACCAGGACAGTGCCTGTGGGCAACAAGTTTGCTAGGTTTGAAAGTGTTGAGGATGGCGGAGCTGCAGTGGCCATGGGGAGGAAGAAGATATATACGTACTTAGTTACAAGCTTAATTTGCTGGTTGTGGGTTTTGTCTTGTGTGTAATACGGGGGCTTTGTAAGGTAAGGTAAAGAAGCATTGTGAAGCAGTGCATATTTTGCTTTTTTTTTCTTTGAACAAAAGTGAATTTAGTACATTGTAAATGGGATAAGGGGAAGGAAATCCATAAAACTCAGAAACTACAATTCTCAGAGGTGGTTTCAATAATTTAAAATCAATATTACTAGATTGGAGCATGAGAATCATCTTTTTTTTTTTAGTGGAAGAGGAGTGTCGGTTATGGATTAGATTTTTGAGGTACATATTTCACTTTGGTTCACAAAAAACTTTTATCAATTTTCCCCAAGAAACGAAATTAACATAATGAATAACTCTGCATTCATGATAGATACTTTTATTTTTTATTCATAATTTTGTAAATGAAAATATTATAATATTTACAATATTGTGTAAAATTATTTATAAATTTATAATTATGATATGTTATTAAATGAGAAATACATATAATATTATATATAAATAATTATATAACATATTATTTTATAAATTTTTAATATTACACGATATTATAATTGTATCAACACTAAAAAAAAAACAAACCCTCAATTG